GAAATAAGTCTAAAGATTAAAAAAAGAATCACAATCCCCATTTTTAAAATTTCAGTAACTTTTAGGATAAGACTCAAATATTTATACCTTAATAAGACTTATCACTCTATAATAAAATACGCGTACAGTTTTATGCAATTTTATCCCATGTGTAAATTCAAGTAACCCCCCTAACAGTCAAGGTAGAGAATTTTTCCACCACCACAAAAGAATTCTCTTGTGCTACCCTTTTATATTCACAACCTTCAACCTGTCCCTGGTTCCCTGGCAACTGCTCATCTAGTCTCCATCTCTACAGCTTGGCCATTTTGAGAATTTTTTAAGAATCTGACAAATTGTCTTCCAAAATGGCTGTACCACTTTACATTCGCAACAGGAGTTTATGAGGATCCAGTTTCTTGACATCCTCGCCAGTAATTAGTACTATCATTCCATTTTGTTAAGTATTTTAGTAGGCATATAGTGGTATCTCAACTGGCTTTAATTTGCATTTTTAATGAAAAGAGATTTTATTTATTTATTTCTCAGAGAGAGGGAAAGGGAGGGGGAAGAGAGGGAGAGACACATTGATCAGCTGCCTCTTGCAAGCCCCCAGCTTGGGACTTGGTCTGCAACCCAGGCATGTGCGCTGACCAGGAATTGAACCAGAGACCTTTTGGTTCGCAGGCTGATGCCCAGTTCATTGAGCCCCACCAGTCAGGGCTTGCACTTTTCTAATAGCTAATAATGTGGACAATCTTTTCACATGCTTATTGATCATCCTTCTCCTCCCTGGTAAAATGTCTGTTCACGTCTTTTGCCATTTTCTAACTTAACTGCTTTTTAATCTTGAGTCTTGAGAGTTCTTTACATAGTCTAGATAACAAGATCTTTGTCAGGTATGTGGTTTGCAAATGTTTTCTCCCTGCCCATAGCTTGTCTTTTCAATCCTCTTAATAGGACCTTACATAGTTAAAGTTTTTATTTTTTTATAAAGTCCAATTTATCAATTTTTTCTACTAGGTATCATGCTTTTGATATCATGTCCAAGAACTCTTCCCTTAACTTGAGGTTCTAAAGATTTTCTACTATGTTTTCTTATAAAAGTTTTATGGTTTTAAGATTCACATTTAAATTCATGATCCATCATGAATTAATATCTGCGTAAGACATGGGATTTTTGCTTACAGATGTCCAATTGCTCAAAGGCAATGTAAAAGCTGCTAGAATATATCTTGATGTATAAACAGCATATCTGTTATATAAATACAGTTGCCATTACCTATGTTAAAATGGACATAATTTCAAATAATTTTTACACTTTTGAAAAACAAGAATAAAATGTTTCAGACAACTTCTAAAACACTAATACTTTTTGGACAAATAAAATAAAAATCTATTGCTGTATATTTCTGGTAATTCATTAGTATAACATATTATCTTGGTCTTACAGGCTTCTAAACCAGCACTGCCCTACAGAACTTTCTACAATGATAAAAATATTGTATATCTACATTTTTAAAAAATCCATGATCTATGCTATATCAATTCTTACATAAATTCTGAGGTTGAGGTTAAGGTTTCTTTTCTGGCCTGTGAATATCCAACTGCACCTGCGTTATTTGTTGAAAAGACAATGTAGCCACATGTGGCTACCAAGCCTTGAGTGTCAGTAACACAACTGAGGAAGTGAATTTTTAAGTTTAAATTTAAATGTGGCTTAGTGGATACTGAAGTGGACAGTGCAAATCTAAACTCTTCTCTCTGCTCAACAGTTTTCCTTCCTCAGTATTCACCTTTTCCCTGGCTAACATTTGTTTACTAATTAGCTAAGAACCTTCCTCAAATAAGCAGTGCCTGAGTCAACCCCTTTGTCTGGGTTTCAGATCCCAATTTGCTCTCACAGAGATCTGAATTTCCTCTGTTAAACCTTTATCATACTTTATTATTTCATTTGCAAGCCTCACTAAACTGTCAACCTCATGGGAGTGAAAAAGAGGTCTAATCTTTTTTCCTCCACTCAATCCCCAGCTACAGTAACAGAATGTCTCAACTGTATTAAATGTTTGTGGCTCATATTAATGAATAAGATTATTTACTTCAAGTAAAAGGTAATTTATTAGTTGGCTAGAAGGTAGGTGGTATTTTTCAAAAGCTTCATAGTTTGAGTTCTTTTGTAATTTCAAGAAATGCATACTTCAGAAACTTCTTAGCTCTCAATGTGTAAGTATACTGAGAACATCTGAAAGTAAAAGACAAATGGAACAGGAAATGTACATAGATACATAATATAGGAAAATTTTCTTGCGCAAAGAACCAATCTCAGATTGAAAGAGAGCATGACAGGTATTGAGAAAGACTGATAAGGAACCACAGACATCCAGGCATACTGGGGTTAAGTCAATAACTTCAGGTACAACGGTATAATTCTTCAAGCAACAAGTTAGGAAAAAAATAAGTCACTTGCAAAGAGAATATAAAACATTGATGATATCAGAAGTGTTAGTCTCCTGTTAAACAGAGAATCAATTTTTAATTAAATACTATAGATTAAAAATAAATAAATAAATACTGTAGAAACAAATAACTTAGATTTCCAAAAGAATTTTGTTCACTTACGAACTTGTAAATAATTTCTTTCCTGGTAAGGAAAGTGAAAGACACAGGAATCGAAGTAAAAATTCTTTCTCCTTATTTAAATTGAAATAAGCTCTCATTTAAAACAAAATATGACTCTAACAACAAATGGAAGAATTCCTTTAAGTTTTCCTTTAAGTTTTTTCTTTTTTTTTTTAAATTCCTCACCCATGGGTATCTTATTATTTATTGATTTTTCTTAGTGATAGAGGAGTTGCGGGGGAGAGATAGAGAGAGAGAAAGAAACATCGATGTGAGAAAGAAATGTTGATCGGCTGCCTTCCTTACACACCCCAACTGGGGTTTAAACCTGCAATCCAGGTATGTGCCCCTGACTGGGAATTGAACCTGCAACCCTCTGGTGCACGTAACGATGTTCCAATCAACTGAGCCTCCTGGCCAAGGTGACATTTCCCTTTTTTCTTTCTGTTTTATTGAGACATAATTGACATACAGCATTATCAAAAGTTTAAAGTGTATGGTATACAGCATAATTACTTGATTTGCATATACTGCTAATTGATTACCATGATAAAGTTAGGTAGCATCCATCAACTCAGAGAGACAGAGATTTTTTTTTGTTGTGATGAAAACTTTTAGGATCTACTCTTAGCAACTTTCAAATATACCATATAGCAATGTGAACTACAGTCATATGTTGTACAATATACATCTCCAGTACTTATTTAAATCTTATGGAAGTTTGTACCATTTGACTACCTTTATCTGATTCCCCCATCCACCTTACCCCCACCTCCTGCCTCTGGTAACCACGAATCTGATCTCTTTTTCTGTAACTTACTTTTTTTGGGGGGGGGGGGGCTACAAATCACTTTAACACCCACCTAAAATGTAAAGCTTTGTCAAAAACTATGAAACATGTTTAGGTAATAATGACATATCAGAAAATGATTGTTCATAAATTTTATCTGTTCAAATTCACTTCAGATGTAATTAATTTGTCCACTACAAAATGCCATTAAGTTCTGAGAGAAAAAAAGGGTGACTCAAGATTATTATACATAGCTATTCTGATGTTTGAGCATACAAAGGCAACAAACATTCTCAAACAGGAAAGAAACCAAGGAATATAGCATCCAAAGTCCCCCTAAACAAACCAAAAAGTAAACAAAAACACTTAATGAAACAAGTAAAAAAGAACTAGTAGTAATCATTGAATCCAACTAGGTAAAGGACTTAAGGCTAAACAATGAGGGGAGGCTGCAAGGAGAGAATGGCTAAAGATCTGAAAGGAAAACTACTGTAAGCAATAAAATTCAGGAGGTAAAGCAGGGGGAAAAAGTTTGAGAGACAATTACCTCATTTTTTTCAGATCAGGTTGTTATTTCATACCATCTAAAACAATGATTGAACCTCTCAAGATTTTATTTAATCTTTCTGACCTTAGAAAGATCTTTTATGATCTCTAAGAGTGAAGAATATCTAAGATTCAGTAGTTCTTTGTATCATTTTTTAAATGTTTCTTACTCAAGTAAAATTAAAGCTAATCAACTGTTATGATTCAAAACATATTAAATATATTTCATACTCAAATGTTATATAATTGTTACAATTTCACTTTACTTTTATTTTCTAATATATCAGATAAAAATTAAAATTTTAATTACAAAGACATCTGATATAATCCTATCCTTAAAAAGTTTATTCATTTTTGTAGCCATTCATCCAGTCTTCCACTATATACATACACAGAGAATTACTTAGAATGTTAATCAAACGTTAACAAGTGCTTGTTTCTGAGTGGTTTAGATTTTGGCTAATATATTGCTTTATTCTTTCTACTTTTCTGTATTATGTGGATTTTAAATGAGCATATATTATATTTATAAACATCCAATTTTTTAAATCAGAAAAACAACTGTTTGATCATTATAATCTTTTTTTCCCCAGCTAGAGAGTAAGTCCAGGAGGAATATCTTTTTTTTTTTTTTAAAGGTTTTATTTATTTACTTTTTAGAGAGAGGGGAAGGAAAGAAGAAGAGAGAAACATCAAAGTGCAAGAGATACATTGATCAGTTGCTTCTCGCATGCCCCTATTTGGGGGCCTGGCCCACAACCTAGGCATGTGCCCTAACTGGGAATTGAACCAGCGACCTTTTGGTTCATAGGCCATCGCTTAATCCACTTAGCCACACCAGCCCTGCAGGGCAGGAATATACTTTAGCCTAGCAAGAAAAACTCAATGTGGAAGTCTTACCATGTCAGCAAGAACACAAAACCTCAATAGAGACTATCTGGTTTTGAAATCTCTCTCTCCCAAGCTCAGTAGTACCTAACTGAATACACTCCATCATTAATAGATGCATAGTATCTGTCAAAAATAAATAAATAAATAAAATAAAAACACCCCCAAAATCTCATACCTTCACAACAGGGTGTCCGCCAGTAGAAGCTTTTACTGCTCCTCGGCTACCTTCAGTTTCATAATGGGCTCGATGATGAGTTTTAGGTTGCACTTCTATTTTCAGTTCACATTGTCCAAAATGAGTAGGTAAAGGCCAGTCTAGCGGAGGTAATGAAGATGTGCTATAAAAAAAACACACAAAGACGCATTTCACCATGCTATTATCGCCGAGCAGTGATTCAAATCACTTCTTCACCAGCACCAACATTTCTTCCTGTGGTCTTGGGAACAAAAAATTCCAAAATAAAACTTCACTTAATAAGTTATAACACTGTATATGGTGGGTACTTAAGAAATAATTCTTTAACCTGAAAAAGTAAAATAAATTTTATCAACTTTTTTGGTTTTCTGTATTTTTTAAGAAAGGACAAATTCTAACACTTGTAAAACTATAACTGTTTCTCAACTGTGTGTATGTAATTACAAAAACAATCAAAATAATAAATTTTGACTTCTTAAAGCAAAAATACTGCACATCTCTGTGTATGTACATCAATATCTCTGCAAGAATCCAAAGGCCCCTGTGTCTCAGGATATTGTTTCCCTCCCTGGTGTGAGGCTATATACATCAGTCTATTGTACATGTTGCTCTCCTCACTTCCCACTTTTGCTCTTTATCCTATCTCTCTGAAATACTGCTTATAGTTAGCAATATATTGCAATTTGAGATAAAAATTTAATTTCAGTAATACTTAGCTTAAAACATATAAGGCCTATCATTGCAGCATCTCTAAATGTCTAAATGTTTAGAGCAAAATGTCAAATGACTGGTAAGATAATTTTGAGAGCTTAAAGAGCTACAGGTTCACTTAGATATAGTAACATTGAAAATATGAAATTAGAAAATATACAACTTATATACCTACAGGTCAAATATTAATGAACCCAAAGACAGAATGATTTGTTTTAAAAGTATTAATCTTCTCAGTGATTGAGGAAATGGGACTTCTAAGGTATTTTCTACCTCCTAAAATGCTAGCATTCCTACTGTAAATTTCTCAATTATTTCACTGATTCCTTCAATGTCCTCAGCCTAGCTTTACTAGTCATTGTGTATTAGTTTTTACTAGTTCAATGGTATTAGTTTTTATTAGTCTGAAACAACTCAACTTCATCACCCCTCAGCTACTTTCTGCACTTGGGCAGACTAAAGCAAACTCCTAAAAAGACTAAGGTAATTTTCAGGGGCAGAGTGATAGGCTCAAAGGTATCTTCAACACCATAATTTTACATTATATTTTCTAAAGATGTGGAGCCATAAACAAACGTTCATACCAACGAAAAAGCTTTTTAAAAAAAGTAAATAAAAAAATAAACAGAATTCATAGTGATTTAATACATGGAAAAGCTGCCTTTTCTAATCAATTTTATACTACACTGATTCTATAAATAGTATTGTGATGACTGATAAGCTATTTGGAAAATGAAGTCATTATACTGTTCTTCAGTCCTTAGCTAGACTCAAGATTCTATGTAAATATGTATGTATATATATAAAATTTACAAATACAATATATAGTATAAATACTATAAATACTTATAAATACTATATGTTACATACATATATTATAAAAATAAAATATATAAAAACTTTATTAGAATTACGTGAAAATTAGATTTTCATTTATTTTTTAATTATTTTAGAGTGGTATAAGGTTTTAAAATATAACACAAAACCCAAAAGCCATAAAGGAAAACAGAAATTTGAATACATAAAATTTAAAACTTCCCCTACACACTAAAAAAATTTACAAACTTGTAAATAGATAAAAATTATGGAAAAAAACACTAGCCACAAACATAAAAAGGCAAATTTCATTTGTATCTTGAGCTCTTAAAAATATAAAAAGCCTATTCCCAATTAGCTGTATTAGTAATTTAATTCATACTACAATCGATCTTTTACAAAAAGCTTTTTTAGATAAGAAAATTCCTTCTAGCCCTGGCCAAGAAGCTCAGTTAGAGTGTTGTCCCAATACGCCAAGGTTACAGGTTCAATCCCCAGTCAGGGCACATGCAAGAATCAACCAGTGAATGCATAAATAAATGGAACAACAAATCGATGTTTCTCTCTCCCTCCCTCCTCCCCCTCAAATCAATAAATACAAAAACAAAGAAAATTTCTTCTGGAAATTCTTAAGTGTACTTTGTTATCTACAATTTATTTATCTAAGCACTTTAAAAATTTTAACTTTAGCCTACCTAAAGGTACTTTTAAGACTCAATGAAAATAAATGCAGACTTTATTTGTCTGGGAGACATCAAAAAGTGAGGAAGGGGAAAATGGTCCAACGATTTCATATAGATAATGTAGTTTTACATGCTACCAATAACCTGTAAGTACGAATGACAGGCAGCCATTTCACAAACTCACCGAAATATAGGGGTGTGGCCAGGCTTGGGTTTGCTCCAGGTAAAGTGTGAAGGAACTGAAAGGAATTGGTCACCAGATAAATCTTTCTTTAAAGGATACTGAGATCCAAGGCCATCATCTATTGAAGTCTCCCGAGATGGTGATAAACTCCCTTGATCATCTGAACAGAGCTCTAATTTTCCTGGTAGTACAGTAGCTTGATCTTCAGAAGTCTTCCTTGTTTTTAGAGGGATATCAGTCTCTACATAGTACTGAAATGGTGGAAGAAGTGCAGGACCAAGGCCTGACCCACCCTGGACAGAAGCATTGAGCCAGGTATCTTCTGTTACACTCCCCCTAGGGGAATGGCCAGGAGAAGGAACAGGTGAGTGATGGGGTGAAAGGGGCCCAGCATAACAAACCTCAGCACTAGAGTGCCGCCGTTTCCCACAGGGGGAAGTAGGCCTTGATGAGGGTCCTGAGGCTGGTCGGGGACTCAACCAATTCTCATCAGTGACACTAGATCTAGGAGAGTGGCAAGGAGATTGCCTGGGTGACAAGGAGTGTCCAAGTCCATACTGTTGATGCCAGGACTCTTCTCCAGGGCAGCCCCCTGGTGAGCCACCAGGAGAAGTCAGAGGGGATCCAAGAGTAAATCGGGCAGCGGCTTCATTCAATTCTGAATCCACATCATCATAGATATGTGAAAGAGATTCACAAGACGATGCATCTGAGAACCAGCTCCTAGAAGAGATGCTGCTGGCAGGACTAGGACTAAGGGAAGACTCCCGGTAAGATGGCTCAAGAGGAAGATAGAGATGATCTCTAGAAGGCCTTTCCAAATATTCCTTTTCTGGGTCATTTATATGTAGGTCATCTTCATGAGCATCTATTTCTTGATGACAGTTAGGAGAGATGGATGTGATTTGAATACTTGGGCACTCAAAGGGTTTGGGACCACCTAATGGGCTGTATTTAGATTCCGGAATCTCGCAAGTTCCTTCATAGTTTTTGTGACCTTGGAGCTGAAACGATGGTGACAAAACAGAAGAGTGAGACGGTAATCCATGATGTGGTAAGCAAAGTGGTGAGTTTAAAGTAGATGGAGGTGGATCTACATTAAAGATGTAAATGGATGCACAATCATCTGGCTCAAGATCTATGGAAGGGAAGCAAAAAAATCAATAAAACAAGAAATTAGAAAATTTAGATATATAAATTACTAGATGAGAAAGTAAATAATAATAATAACTCGAGAGAGAAGAGTGGGACATAAAAGGTATATCATTAGCTCCATTAAAGACTGGTGTGTGCTTTGTCAAATGTTTCTGTAGATATATAATTATGTATATAATTTTTTACTTTTCACATTTTCTAAAATGAGACTCAGAAAACATATGAAAACAATAAATGCTTTTATAAAATAATCATATCCATAATTCTAAAAATATTCACAGAATTATAGAATGATAATCTAATTTTACATATTCAGTCTCATCTGGGGTCTGTAAGTTAAAGCAGAATAAAGGATAAAGCCAAGTCTTTGGAAGGTTTTTAGTTTTAAGTATACTCAGTAAATTAAATAATGAAAAGGATTACTGAATCAGCTCACAACACCTAGACTCCTGTCTACCTCTGCCATTTAACTGTGAGATCTTAGTCAAATCACTTACTCTCTCCAAGGCCTCAGTTTCCTTGCAGCAGAATCAAAACGTTTATTTTTGTTAAGGAAATTTTTATGATTAACAATAACAAGGGGTTTTTCCCTCTCCACCAGTCACTATCAAGAATTCATACTTTGGTCACAGCTGACTAGGTCATGAAAGTCCCGTAATGTCACTGAATCATTTACCTCAACTAGAAAACAATTCATCAGTACTTTAACTTACGCCTGATTGTTAAAGTAATCCTAATAAGGACAGAACTTTTAAAATGCACCCCTTGCTGGAATATTTACACTAAACAACTCCTGCCAAATTACCTACTGAGTGTATGCAGCAGTAATGGTATTTTGCAAATTCACTTTTAGGAAGAAGTGATTATTATCCATTTCAGAGGCAGAAATACTAAACTCTAACAAGGTACTGGTTCAACACCTTCACATTTTCCTAAGAGATCATCATTAGGAGACCAAAGACGAACAGTTCATAGATACAAGGGAGAGAAGCACAAACCTTTAGCCTCTTTTCAAAAGTACTCAAGAGAACATTGTTTTGTTATATTAGTACCCCCAGAAAGTAACACACCTTTAGACTATTGGGGTTGCTGTCTTTAACCAGTATGCACCCTACAATTTAACTATTTCTGTAAGTTTTAGAATCTGGAACTTTTAAGGTGCTGTGTGGTTAGTGAACACATAAAGAGTTTTTTACATGTATTAAAACAACAAAACAATCCCACCCCTCCCCACCTCCTGCTGATTTAAACTCTGGCTCTGCCAGTCCATAGCTGTGTGAATTTGGACAAGTTATTTAACCGGCTTGAACTTCAGATTTACAAGGCTGTTTTTTTCTATTACGCTGGCTGGAGTAGAGTAGAATATCATCTGAAACACAAAGGATCATTTTTAAGACAAGCACCTAACACAATGATTAACAGTTAGCGAGAACTCAATACTTGTCAATTACCCTGCCTTTTCCTTTTTAAAATTTAAGAGGGGTATGTTATACTTTATTATTTTAACTCTGAAATATTTCCTAAAAAATTGAAATATTTACATATACCATTAATTCCATTCACTGAATCAAAGGAAAGAAGAAGTCAGAGCTCCAATGTAGAAAACCTCAATTTGACTGGAATAAAAAGCTAGAGGAAAAAAGCTATTAAAAAAAAAAAGAAAAGGAAGAGGACTGGAAGCAAATGGGGAGTGACTGCAAGTGGGTACTGGGTTTCTTTTTGGGGGTGATGAAAATGTTCTAACATTGATTGTGGTAATGGTTGCACTATTCTGTGAATATACTAAAAACCACTGAACTGTACACTTTAATCAGGTGAACTATATGGTATATGAATTATACCTTCATAAAGCTGTTATATAAATAGAGAACATATTATGTATATTTTATCCCAATGAAAAAAATTTTTTTAAAGATTTTATTTATTTTCAGAGAGAGGGGAAGGGAGGGAGGAAGAGAGGGAACGAAACATCAATGTGTGGTTGCCTCTTGTACGCTCCCTACTGAGGATCTGGCCCACAACCCAGGCATGTGCCTTGACTGGGAACTGAACCAGTGACCCTTTGGTTCGCAGGCCGGCGCTCAATCCAAGTGGATAGCCAACCTATCAGGTGCACAGTTCAAAACACTGGTAATCAGGATGCTCACAGAAATGGTTGAGTATGATCACAAAATGGAGGAAAAAGCAAAGGCTATGCAAAGTGAAATAAAGAAAAATATATAGCGAACCAACAATAAAGGGAAGGAAACTAGGACTCAAATCAACGATTGGGAGCAGAAGGAACAAGCAAGCATTCAACCAGAACAGAATGAAGAAACAAGAATTCAAAAAAAATGAGGAGAGGCTTAGGAACCTCTGGGACAACTTGGAACATTCCAACATCCGAATCACAGGGGTGCCAGAGAAGAGGAAGAGCAAGAAATTGAAAACTTATTTGAAAAAATAATGAAGGAGAACTTCCCCAATCTGGCTAAAGAAACAGACTTCCAGGAGATCCAGGAAGCTCAGAGAGTCTCAAAGAAGTGGGACCCAGGGAAGCACACACCAAGGCAATCATCATTAAGTTACTCAAGATTAAAGATAAGTAATCTCAAAAGGAGCAAGAGAAAAGGAGAGTTACCTACAAAGAGTTCCCATAAGACTGTCAGCTGATTTCTCAAAGAAACCTTGCAAGCAAGAAGGGGCTGGTAAAGTTTTCAAAGTCCTGAAAAATAAGGACCTACATCCAAGATTACTCTATCCAGCAAAGCTATCATTTAGAATGGAAGGGCAGTTAAAGTGCTCCCCAGATAAGGTAAAGTTAAAGGACTTCAGCATCACCAAGCCCTTAGTATGTGTTAAGTTAAAGGCACTTACACAAGAAAAAGAAGATCAAAAACTGTGAACAGTAAAAGGGGGAGGGGAGGCAGGAAGAATGGGAGAAAAGGTACACGGAATAAGCAGCATAAATAGAAGGTACAAAATACGCAGGGGGAGGTTAAGAATAGTCTAGGAAATGGAGAAGCCAAAGAACTTATATGTACAACCCATGGACATGCACTAAGTTGGGGAGGGAATGCTGGGGGGTGAGCAGTATAGGGTCGAGGGGTATAAAAGGGAGAAAAAAATGGGACAACTGTAATGGCATCATCAATAAAATATTTATTAAAAAATACATAAAATAAATAAAATATTTCCTCCCAGACTGTAGGATAATCATTTAAGAAAATTGCAAACAAATGCTATTACCATTTTTATACATGCCAAGACATATGTTTTCACATGTGTCTTGGTCTACATGGGTACATATTTCATATAATTGTGATTATAACATTGTTTCAGGTTTTTCCCTAACCTTTTATTGAAGTGTAAGATACATACCTAAAGTGCACATAAGTACACAGCTTGATATATTTTCACAGACACACCCTGTAATAGCATTCTTTTAAAAAAAAGGGGGAGTCCCTGCCTGGTGTGGCTCCATAGACTGAGCACCAGCCCTCAGACCGAAAGGTCACTGGTTTGGTTCCCAGTCAGAGCACATGCCTGGGTGGTGGGCCAGATCCCTGGCTGGGGACATGTGAGAGGCAAACAACTGATCTCTCTCTCTCTCACATATTGATGTTTCTCTCCCTCTCTTTCTCCCTCCCTTTCTGTTTCTCTAAAAAATAAATAACTAATATCTTTAAAAAAGAAAAAAAAAAGAACATGAACAACATCTCAGGAGCCCCTCTATGGCTCCCTTCTAAGTCATTACCTCTCCACCAAGAATACTACTACATTGATTTGTAAGTCTAGATTTGTTTTGCCTGTATAACATACAACTTTGTCTTTCAATTTTTTTTAACATTTTTATTGAATTTATTGGGGTAACATTGGTTAATAAAATTATATAGATTTCAGGTATACAACTCTATATCATCTGTATATTGTATTGTGTATTCACCACTGTCTTTCAATATTTTTTATTTTATTGAGCTTTATAAAGTTTCTAAACAATTTTCAATGCCATGCAAAATGTCAAGAGTCAATTATCATATATGGAAGCAACCCAAGTGCCCATCAAAAGGTGAGAAGAGAAAAAGTTGTGGTGTATATATACAATGGAATATTACCCGGCCGTAAAAAAAAAGAATGAAATCTTACCATTTGCAACAACATGGATGGACCTAGAGGGTGAGTATTATGCTTAGTGAAATAAGTCAATCACAGAAAGACAAATACCATATGATTTCACTTATATGTGAAATCTAAAGAAAAGAAAATTAAAACAGACTCATAGAGAAAGACTGATAGTTACCAGAAGGGAGAGGAGTTGGGGACTGGGTGAAAAGGGTGAAGGGATTAAGAGGTACTAATTGGTAGTTACAAAATAGTCAAGAGGATATACAATACAGCATTGAGAATATAGTCAATAATATTGTAATAACTATGTATGGTGCCAGGTGGGTGCTGGAAATATCAGGGGAAACACTCTGTAAAGTATAATTGTTTAACTATTATGCTGTACACCTAAAACTAGTTGAAAGTAAACTATAATTGAAAAATAAAATTTAAAGAGTCAATTATCATAGTTATTTCCTACATTTTATTTTATAAATAATGTAGCACTGACCATCTCTATGAACTGCTTTATGTCTTCTTTTGTTGTTGTTGTTGTTGTTCTCTTGGGATTTTATCTACGTTTTCTTTTGAATTAGCCTCCAAGGATAAATTCCCAAGGGTGGAGTTATTAAATCATAGGGCACACACATTTACAGCACCCCCTACCATATAGAGATATTTCTTTTAAAAGACTTTGTTTTAATTTGTAACATTGGAAGGACATGAGTATCATCAGTTTTACTTCAGTTTCTCCAAGCAGGATGTTATTTTTAAATATAGGATAATTTTGGAGTAAAATGGCTCTGTATAAAATATGATGTTTCTAGGCTACAAAGAACAGAAAACCCAACTCACAGAAGCTGAAAAGAGGGGAGGTTACTTACTATCCAATACAGGGTC